TCACCCACTCACCAACCCACCCACCCACCCACTCACACACTCACTCACTCACCCACTCACTCACTCACCAACCCACCCACTCACCCACTCACCCACTCACAGTCGCACCCGGCAAAGAGAGAGAGAGGAGAGAGGGAGGGATCGAGTGGGAGAGAGTCTCTGTAACTCTCTCGCCAGGCTGATTGAACACCATTCCGTGCATCTCAATAACCCAATGAACCCACCGTTGGATGTCATCCAGCACGCTTTTAGTTCGCCTGCATGCAGGAAAAAGAATATTAATCCAGCACGCGGCACTTCACGCAACAAGACCCAACTTTTATTTTATTTTTGTTAAAGAAGTAAACCCGCATAAATTAAGCGGAAGGTTCCTTTTCTTCATATATTCTAAAACAAAATAAAATGTTACGTAATGTTTTGCTTCTCTGGGCACGCCAGATTACGTCACTTTAATTAATTTTAACGAGTGTATTGAAAGGCGCGTATAAGATTCTTTGTTACACGCCCGTGAAAAAAAACCCCGTCTTTTATATAAATATATTTTTTTTAACGTAACACAAGTGTGAAAGTGCAAGAGAGAGTGAACGATTTTGCTCCTGGGAGACTGTCTTCGATTGCTGGAGCCCGGACAAACCTTTTATTGTTGATTCTACGAATGGAGCGGAGATGCACACCCGAGTTTGAATCATAAAGACGACGACAAACAGCGTCCATCATCATCGTAATCACTATCCATTGTTGTAGAAATCGATGTAGCAATACGGGAAGGTGTGGAGTGGGTGAGTGGGTGAGTGAGTGGGTGAGTGGGTGGGCGAGCGAGCGAGTTGGTGAGTGAGTTGGCAGGGTGAGTGAGTGAGTGGACGGTCGAGTTGTCTGCGTGTGTGGGTGAGTGGCTGGGTGATTGAGTGGGTGGTTGGGTGAGTGAGTGGTTGGGTTGAGCGAGTGAGTGGGTGATTGAGTGGACGGGTGGGTGTTTGATTGAGTGGGTGGTTGGGTGAGTGAGTGGTTGGGTGAGCGAGTGAGTGGGTGATTGAATGGACGGGTGGGTGATTGATTGCATGGGTGGTTGGGTGAGTGAGTGGTTGGGTGAGCGAGTGAGTGGGTGATTGAGTGGACGGGTGGGTGTTTTATTGAGTGGGTGGTTGGGTGAGTGAGTGGTTGAGTGAGCGAGTGAGTGGGTGATTGAGTGGACGGGTGGGTGTTTGATTGAGTGGGTGGTTGGGTGAGTGAGTGGTTGGGTGAGCGAGTGAGTGGGTGATTGAATGGACGGGTGGGTGATTGATTGCATGGGTGGTTGGGTAAGTGAGTGGTTGGGTGAGCGAGTGAGTGGGTGATTGAGTGGACGGGTGGGCGTTTGATTGAGTGGGTGGGTGGGTGAGTGCGTGAGTGAGTGGGTGATTGAGTGGACGGGTGGGTGTTTTATTGAGTGGGTGGTTGGGTGAGTGAGTGGTTGGGTAAGCGAGTGAGTGGGTGATTGAGTGGACGGGTGGGTGTTTGATTGAGTGGGTGGGTGAGTGAGTGAGTGGTTGGGTGAGCGAGTGAGTGGGTGATTGAGTGGACGGGTGGGTGATTGATTGCATGGGTGGTTGGGTGAGTGAGTGGTTGGGTGAGCGAGTGAGTGGGTGATTGAGTGGACGGGTGGGTGTTTGATTGAGTGGGCGGTTGGGTGAGTGAGTGGTTGGGTGAGCGAGTGAGTGGGTGATTGAGTGGACGGGTGGGTGATTGATTGCATGGGTGGTTGGGTGAGTGAGTGGTTGGGTGAGCGAGTGAGTGGGTGATTGAGTGGACGGGTGGGTGTTTGATTGCATGGGTGGTTGGGTGAGTGAGTGGTTGGGTGAGCGAGTGAGTGGGTGATTGAGTGGATGGGTGGGTGTTTGATTTAATGGGCGGGTGGGTGAGTGAGTGCGTGAGTCTATGGGTGGTTGAGTGCATGAGTGAGTGAGTTCCGTGGGTAAGTGAGTGAGTGAGTCCGTGGGTAAGTGAGTGAGTGAGTCAGTGAGTGAGTGAGTGAGTCAGTGGGTGAGTGACTGAGTGAGTCAGTGGGTGAGTGTGTGGTTGCGTGAGATGCAGACGAATGAAGCTGAGATTCAAATCCTGAGATTGATTCAGAAATACGATGAGAGGCATCATGATCATCATCATCATCAGCGTGATCACTGTCATTGACATCAACATTGATTGAACAGCACAGAACCGCATGAATGGGTGAGTGGGTAAGTGAGTGTGCGAGTGAGTGGTTGAGTGAGAGAGCGAGTGAGTGGATGAGTGAGTGAGTTGCGCAGTGAGTGGGTGAGCGACTGAGTGAGTCCGTGCGTGAGTGAGTGGGTGACTGAGGGGGTAAGTGAGTGGTTGTGCGAGTTGATGATTGAGTAGGTGGGTGAGTGAGTGGTTGAGTGTGTGGGTGAGTGAGTGGGTGAGCGACTTAGTGAGTCCGTGCGTGAGTGAGTGGGTGACTTAGGGGGTAAGTGAGTGGTTGTGCGAGTTCATGATTGAGTAGGTGGGTGAGTGAGTGGTTGAGTGTGTGGGTGAGTGAGTGACTGGGTGATTGAGTGGGTGGGTGCGTGAGTGAGTGGGTGACTGAGGGGGTAAGTGAGTGGTTGAGCGAGTTGATGATTGAGTAGGTGGGTGAGTGAGTGGTTGAGTGTGTGGGTGAGTGAGTGGCTGGGTGATTGAGTGGGTGGGTGCGTGAGTGAGTGGGTGACTGAGGGGGTAAGTGAGTGGTTGAGCGAGTTGATGATTGAGTGAGTGGGTGAGTGAGTGGTTGAGTGTGTGGGTGAGTGAGTGACTGGGTGATTGAGTGGGTGGGTGCGTGAGTGTGTGGGTGACTGAGGGGGTGAGTGGTTGAACGTGTTGATGATTGAGTGGGTGAGTGAGTGGTTGAGTGTGTGGGTGAGTGAGTGGCTGGGTGATTGAGTGGGTGGGTGGGTGCGTGAGTGAGTGGGTGACTGAGGGGGTAATTGGGTGAGTGAGTGGATGATTGAGTAGGTGGGTGAGTGAATGGTTGAGTGTGTGGGTGAGTGAGTGACTAAGCCACTCACTCAGTCGCTCACCCACTCACTCAGTCACTCACTCAGTCGCTCACCCACTCAGTCACTCAGCCACTCACTCCTCCACTCAGTGAGATTCTCACTTGCTCAGCCATTCACTCACTCAGCTACTCACTCACCCACTCGCTCACTCAGACACTCACCCAGTCGCTCACCCACTCAGTCACTCAGCCACTCACTCCTCCACTCAGTGAGATACTCACTTGCTCAGCCATTCACTCACTCAGCTACTCACTCACCCACTCGCTCACTCAGACACTCACTCAGTCGCTCACCCACTCAGTCACTCAGCCACTCACTCCTCCACTCAGTGAGATACTCACTTGCTCAGCCATTCACTCACTCAGCTACTCACTCACCCACTCGCTCACTCAGACACTCACTCAGTCGCTCACCCACTCAGTCACTCAGCCACTCACTCCTCCACTCAGTGAGATACTCACTTGCTCAGCCATTCACTCACTCAGCTACTCACCCACTCGCTCACTCAGACACTCACTCAGTCGCTCACCCACTCAGTCACTCAGCCACTCACTCCTCCACTCAGTGAGATACTCACTTGCTCAGCCATTCACTCACTCAGCTACTCACTCACCCACTCGCTCGCTCAGCTGTTCACTCACCCACTAACTCACTCCTCAACTCACTCACTCCACCACTCGCTTGCACACTCATCAGGTTCGGCAGTCAGCTTGCGTGTCACGCGTTCGCTGTTTGCGTCGTTGGTGCTCAGTGCTGTCTGACGGCAGATAACCCCTTTCAAAAGATAAACATCAACAACTAAATTGTAAAGAGTTGCAGTTTGTGTTGTGCACCCATCATCAGCGTCGCGTTAAGTGCCGTGCTGCGCACGTGCACCGATTGACTGATGCACTGCGTGTCTCTGGCTTTGAGTGAGTGAGTGGTGGGGTGAGTTGAGTGGCAGTGTGAGTGTGTGAGTGGCAGAGTGAGTGAGTGAGTAAGTTGCAGAGTGAGTGGTGGGGTGAGTGGTAGTGTGAGTGAATGAGTGGCAGTGTGAGTGAATGAGTGGCAGTGTGAGTGAGTGAGTGGCAGAGTGAGTGGTGGGGTGAGTGGCAGAGTGAGTGAGTGGCAGAGTGAGTGGGTGAGTGGCAGTGTGAGTAGTGGGGTGAGTAGTGATGTGAGTGGCAGTGTGAGTGTGTGAGTGGCAGAGCGAGTGAGTGAGTAAGTGGCAGAGTGAGTGGTGGGGTGAGTGGTAGTGTGAGTAAGTGAGTGGCAGTGTGAGTGAGTGAGTGGCAGAGTGAGTGGGTGAGTGGCAGTGTGAGTAGTGGGGTGAGTAGTGATGTGAGTGAGTGGCAGAGTGAGTGGTGGGGTGAGTGGCAGTGTGAGTGAGTGAGTGGCATGGTGAGTGGGTGAGTGAGTGGCAGAGTGAGTGAGTGGTGGGGTGAGTGAGTGAGTGAGTGGCAGAGTGAGTGAGTGGTGGGGTGAGTGAGTGGCGGGGTGAGTAGTAATGTGAGTGAGTGGCAGAGTGAGTGGTGGGGTGAGTGAGTGTCAGAGTGAGTGAGTGAGTGGCAGTGTGAGTGAGTGTTAGAGTGAGTGAGTGGTGGGGTGAGTGAGTGGTGGGTTGAGTAGTGATGTGAGTGAGTGTCAGTGTGAGTGGTGCACTGAGTGGAGTCTACAGTCGACGCGGGCGTGATGCTGGCCACCCACCCCCTCGTGTACCGTGCCGGCCTTCTTAAGGCGCCACTGTGGCTAGGAGATGTTAACTACCTCGCCTGGTATACAGGAGGTCGTCGGGTTCGATCCAGATCCTTGTCATGCATGTTGTATTCGTGGAGTTTGCGTGTCTCTCTCTCTCTCATCATCATAATCACGGTGGCTAGAGGATGTTAACTACCTCGCCCGGTATACAGGAGGTCGTGGGTTCGATCCAGACCCTGGCCATGCTTGCTGTATACGTGGAGTTTGCGTGTCTCTCTCTCTCTTATCATCATCATCACGGTGTCTATGAGATGTTAACTACCTCGCTTGGTATACAGGAGGTCGTGGGTTCGATCCCAACCCTCACGACGCCAGCTGCTGCTGCTGCTGTATTATTATTATTATTTTCTCCGTATCCGCGGGTTATTTATCTCCGGGTCATTTTGGTTTTTATTTTTTCTCCCCCCTGCACATTGAGAATCAGCATCACGCGTTCGGTAGAGGATTTGGTTGCTGCTATACATTCACACGCGATGATGATGATGATGATGCTGATGGGCCAATTCGTCGAGCGATCATTCGCGATTTGCGAGGTCGCTTCTGAAAAAAAAGCTACGTAGCTCGGTGTGGTCTTGCCTGCTAACAAGAAGAAAACAAAATTTGATTAGTTTCGGTTTAACGAGCTTAGAGAGCACTTGCCCCAATGATCCGTGGAAGGCTATAACGGGGGTGCCTTTGTCTCTGCGTCGTCCGCACGGGCCTAATTACAGGCGTCGTTGATTGATTGGTGTCGCGTCTTCAAGAGAGTTCCCTCTAAGTTGTGCGGCTATTAAAATATTCAAAAGCATCTCGTAATTAGCACGCGCGGGGCACAAGGCGCCGACTGCCACGTGGGTTCATTAAAGAATATCTCTTTTTTTTATTATATTTTAATTTATTTTCTACCCATGTTAAGTCCCCCTACTGAGCAGATGTGTCTCTCTCTCTCTCTTTTTTTATTGTCAGAAGCGACCCGTCTTATCGCAAATGATAGCTCAACGAAGTCGGGTGACTTATCATCATCATCATCAGCACCACCATTAACTGGACATTTTTATCAGCAGCCGAAATAACTCAAAGCTGCGTGACGTTGAGTCTCAAGGTGGATGGTGCTCACATACCGTGCCGAGCTGACCCGGGTCAGATACCGTGCCGAGCTGACCCGGGTCAGATACCGTGCCGAGCTGACCCGGGTCAGCTACCACGCCGAGCTGACGCGGGTCAGATACCGTGCCGAGCTGACCCGGGTCAGATACCGTGCCGAGCTGACCCGGGTCAGATACCGTGCCGAGCTGACCCGGGTCAGATACCACGCCGAGCTGACGCGGGTCAGATACCGTGCCGAGCTGACCCGGGTCAGATACCGTGCCGAGCTGACCCGGGTCAGATACCGTGCCGAGCTGACCCGCGCCGCGTGACCCACAGAGGTGAGCCCTGAGCAAGGGACGTGGCGAGCGGGCGGGGCGAGGCCGGAGGGGGGGATGAAGAGGAAAAATCTCCAATTTACACACGCACGTGGTGGTGGTGCCTCATGGTGGTGGTGACTTGTGGTGGTGGTGGTGATGGAGGTGGTGGTGGTGCCTGATGGTGATGGTGGTAGTGGCTGGTGGTGGTGGTGGTGATGGTGGTGCCTGATGGTGATGGTGGTGGTGGCTGGTGGTGGTGGTGGTGATGGAGGTGGTGGTGGTGCCTGATGGTGATGGTGGTGGTGGCTGGTGGTGGTGGTGGCTGGCGGTGGTGGTTGGTGGTGGCTGGTGGCGGTTGTGGTAGTGGTTGGTGGTGATGGTGGCTGGTGGTGGTGGTTGGTGGTGGTGGTTGGTGGTAATGGTGGTGGTGATGGCTGGTGGTGGTGGCTGGTGGTGGTGGTTGGTGGTGATGGTGGTGGTGGTGGTTGGTGGTGGTGGTGGTGGTGGCTGGTGGTGGTGGCTGGTGGTGGTGGTTGGTGGTGATGGTGGTGGTGGTGGTGGTGGTTGGTGGTGATGGTGGTGGTGGTGGCTGGTGGCTGGTGGTGGTTGGTGGTGGTGGTGGTGGTGATGGTGGCTGGTGGTGGTGGTTGGTGGTAGTGGTGATGGTGGTGGTGGTGGCTGGTGGCTGGTGGTGGTTTCTGCTGTTCGTGCCAGTAGCTACTGGCACTGATATGAACATTGACATCCGTGTCACGGTGGTGCCATGGAAGTCCGCGTATCTCTCGCTATGTTGGAGTGGGGGGGGGGGGCGTTAGGTGGAGTTGGGGGGGGTGGTAGGGGGGGGGGGTTAGGGGGAGTGGAGGGTTAGGGGGGGGCGTGGGGGGCGGGGTTAGGGGGAGGGGGGGGTTAGGGGGGGCGTGGTGGGGCTGTCTTCCTGCAACGAATTTGCTCACGAAATGTCTTTAAAAAAAATCCACAATCCTCTCTCTCGCACGATTCCACCCTCTCGTACAACAATAACAACCACACAGACAAAGATCCCCCGTGTAGCCCCAACAGACTGTAGGGGCAAGTGCTGTTAGCGAGTAGCAGCAGCAGCAACCTATGAAGGCCGGAACGGCACACGATGGGGGGGGGAGGGGGGGAGGGGTGGCCAGCACCGCGCCCCGGCCACCTTTGTCTCCCCGGTGGCGAAGTTTTCCCCTATCACACCTCCCCCCCCCCACCTCCCCCCTCCCCAACCTTCCCCCCAACCTCCCCCCACCACACCCCCCCACTTCCCCCCCCCCCCACCCCTTCCAACGCCGCACCAATTACGCCTCTAAATCAGCCGAATAACGACCTTACATTTAATAACCTTGTATCACGAGCCATCCTCCCTCATCTCCCGGCATAAGCAGGATTGATATTTCTCGTAAAGATATTCAACAATGGGCGACTGACGATGGGTGGTGGGTAAGAAGGGGGGCCCACGTCCAGCAGGACGTTTCTCGCTGATAAATTCCCACGGGAATGGTTTTCTTATACTTAGTTCTTTCGGTAAAGTCACGTTGAAGGGGAAACAATAAAATAATAAAAAAAATATATATATATAAAATAATAAAAATTCTCACGACGTTTCGACCATAACACAAGCGGTCGTCTTCAGGTGCAAACCAACACACCTGAAAACGACCGTTTGTGTTATGGTCGAAACGTCGTGAGAATTTTTTATTGTTTTGTATATATTTTATTGTTTCCCTTTAACGTGACTTTACCGAAAGAACTAAGAATATGAATTACTGCAGTCACGAAAGCTTTAAATCAAAATTTAATGGTTGTCTTGGTTTTTTTTACTCGTCTTCTCCATCAACACACAAGCAAAGAAAAAAATATATATCGGGAATCAAAGATTGTTCACCCGACACAGCAGCTGACTGCATTTGCGCCGTAGCGAAGCTCGATTTTTTTTATTTTTTTTTTATTTTTCAATGCGGATAGAAAATAATCCCCGGGCGGTGTGAACGTCGCACAATCTGGCACCCACCTGACCCGGGTCAGATACCGTGCCGAGCTGACCCGGGTCAGATACCAGGCCAAGCTGACCCGGGTCAGATTCCACACCGACCTGACCCGGGTCAGATACCATGCCGAGCTGACCTGACCTGGGTCAGACACCAGGCCAAGCTGACCCGGGTCAGATTCCACACCGACCTGACCCGGGTCAGATACCACGCCGACCTGACCCGTTTCAGCTACGGTTACAATGATGATGAGAGAGAGACACGCAAACGAACCCACGACCTCCTGTGTACCAGGCGAGGTAGTTAACATCTCCTAGCCACCGTGATGATGATGATGAGAGAGAGACACGCAAACTCAAAATATACAGCAGCAGGCATCGTCAGGGTCGTGATCGAACCCACGACCTCCTGTGTACCAGGCGAGGTAGTTAACATCTCCTAGCCACCGTGATGATGATCATGAGAGAGAGAGAGAGAGACACGCAAACTCCAAATATACAGCAGCAGGCGTCGTCAGGGTCGTGATCGAACCCACGACCTCCTGTACACCAGGCGAGGTAGTTAACATCTCATAGCCACCGTGATTATGATGATGATGAGAGAGAGATACGCTAACGAACCCACGACCTCCTGTGTACCAGGCGAGGTAGTTAACATCTCCTAGCCACCGTGATCATGATGATGATGAGAGAGAGACACGCAAACTCAAAATATACAGCAGCAGGCATCGTCAGGGTCGTGATCGAACCCACGACCTCCTGTGTACCAGGCGAGGTAGTTAACATCTCCTAGCCACCGTGATGATGATGATGAGAGAGAGACACGCAAACTCAAAATATACAGCAGCAGGCGTCGTCAGGGTCGTGATCGAACCCACGACCTCCTGTGTACCAGGCGAGGTAGTTAACATCTCATAGCCACCGTCACCGATGCCCGTGACGCCCCCTGCCCAGCCACCGCCGGATGAATGCGTGGGGGGCTTCAGTGGCTGCGGCCCAGGGGACCTACGGCAGCTGGAAGGGGTCTTGGGAGGTGAAGTGTTTAAAGTTATTTCATTTCGCGAACGCTGAATTTTTATTTGTTGTTAGCCTTGTGTAAAAAAAAAAAATATATACGATTTTATTTTTCTTTCACTTTGTTATTTCTTTTGAAAATATTACCGGGGTTGGGGGTGGGTGGGGGTGGGGGGTCCTCACAGGCCCAGGGGTCCTACAAAATCTTAAATCCAGCCCTGCCCGCACGATTGGGTTTCTAAAGTGGCTGAGCCCCAACACCTTTGGAGAGCTAGAGCGAGAGAGAGAGAAACCACCAGGGTTTTATGAAAATTGCTCCGTCCAAATCGCTCGGCAAATCAACAGCGCTGCATCCTTTGCTCGAGTAACCCGAAATCGCTCGAGATTTGAACTCGTATCGGATCATCCCTACAAGCATCACCGTGACCCCCGCCCAACGTTACAGACAGACAGGCGAAGCTCACTGACTAACCATCTGATCATTGTGGTGCCGATGTGTCCTGGGTGAGTCTCCAGCAGCAAGGCGACTCCACGCTCGACAGCTCCACTCGGATCGGATCATCCCTACAAGCTTCACCGTGACCCCCGCCCAACGTTACAGACAGACAGGCGAAGCTCACTCACTAACCATCTGATCATTGTGGTGCCGATGTGTCCTGGGTGAGTCTCCAGCAGCAAGGCGACTCCACGCTCGACAGCTCCACTCGGATCGGATCATCCCTACAAGCTTCACCGTGACCCCCGCCCAACGTTACAGACAGACAGAGGGACGGAGCTGACTCATTTAAAGCTTTAACCAACGCGATAATCTCCAGGATAAGTTCCCGGCGGTAAACCTTACTTCACGAAAACGCGTCAGTTCCACTCGGATTTTGATCGACTCCGTGACCACCGCACGTAGCGAAGCGGACAAACAGACGGACGGAGATTATTCACGAACGCTTGCAAGATTGAGTCTCGGTTGAAAACGCGTTGGGGTAAAAAGTAAAAAAAAAATAAGAAAAAAAAACACCACAGTGGATAAATACAGCACCGAAAAATAATAATCTGAACAAATAGCAAAAGAGAGAGAGATATAAGCAGCAGCAGCATGGATCGTGTGCAGTAATTCATGAAGATGTTAACGGGGGTGAGGGTGGGGGGGGGGGGAAGATTACACCCGTGGATTATTCAGGCCAAGGTCAGGGTTTAATCAGGGAGCAAACGTGGACCTTAAAGCGAATTCCCATGCGAGGCGTTTGGCAGAAACGGTTTCTGGCAACTCTCCATTCCACACATCCCCTCCCTTCACTCCCTCCATCCACTCCTCTCCCCTCCCTCCCCTCCCTCCCACCACTCGCTCCCTTCACTCCCTCCCCTCCCTCCCCTCCCTCCCACCACTCGCTCCCTCTCTCCATCCGCTCCCTCCATCCGCTCCCTCCATCCACTCCCTCCATCCACTCCCTCCCCACCCTCCCTTCACTCCCTCCATCCACTCCCTCCCCTCCCTCCCCTACTCCCTCCCTCCCCTACTCCCTCCCCTCCCTCCCCTACTCCCTCCCTCCACTCCCTCCCCTCCCTCCCTCCTCCCCTCCCTCCCTCCTTCCCTACCTCCCTCCACTCCCTCCCTCCACTCCCTCCCTCCACTCCCTCCCCCCACTCCCTCCCTCCACTCACTCCACTCCCCTCCTCCCTCCCCTGCTCCCTCCCTCCTTCCCTACCTCCATCCACTCCCTCCCTCCACTCCCTCCCCTCCCTCCCTGCCTCCCTCGCCCTCCTTATCTCCCTCCCTCAGCCGTCTCTCACTTCCTCCCTCCCTCCTCTCCCTCCCTCCCTCCCTCGCTCCCACCCCCACCCTCCCTCCCCTCCCTCCTCTCCCTCTTCGCCCTCCCACCACCCCCCTCCCCCCTTCAATCACACTTGGAACTTCACTCATTGATTCCTCCTCCTCGTTGAGGGGTCTCGGGTCCACACCAGACGCCGAATGTGACGTCTCCTCCTCCGTCCATCCACCACCACTCTGTAGGTCGCAACGATTTCACTCACCCACTCACCCATCCACTCATCCAATCACTCACTCACCCACTCACCCATTCACTCATCCACTCGCTCACTCACTCACCCACTCGCCCGTTCACTCGCCAGGTGAAAGGTTAAAACTATACACCCACCCACTGACTCACCCACTCACTCACTCACTCACCCACTCGCTCGCTCACCCACGCATTCACTTACTCACCCACTCGCTCATTCATTCACCCACTCGCTCACCGACTCACCCACTCGCTCACTCACTCATCCACTCACTCACCCACTCGCCCGTTCACTCGCCAGGTGAAAGGTTAAAACTATACACCCACCCACTGACTCACCCACTCACTCACCCACTCGCTCGCTCACCCACGCATTCACTTACTCACCCACTCGCTCACTCACTCACCCACTCGCTCACCGACTCACCCACTCGCTCACTCACTCACCTACTCGCTCACCCACTCGCCCACTCACCCACTCGCTCACTCACCCACTCGCTCACTCACCAACTCGCTCACTCACCAACTCGCTCACCCACTCGCTCAATCACTCACCCACTCACTCACTCATTCGCTCACTCACCCATTCGCTCACCCACTCGCTCACTCACTCACCCACTCGCTCACCCACTCGCCCACTCACCCACCCACTCAACCACCCACTCGCTCACTGACCCGTCCAGTCACCTGCTTATTCGCCCACTCTCTCTCTCTCTACTCGGCGGGTGACGAAACGAAAAACACGATGTAAAAACTAAACGGTGTTTTATTTTAGCAGGTAAGTTCCACCGAGCTATGTAGCTGGCTTTCTCTTTTTTCAGAAGCGACTTGTCCAAAAATGATAGCAGCTCTCCGAAGTGGCTGTCTCATCATCGCCATGAAAGTCTCAGCAGTCAAACACTCTGAAGGCGCTGTGTTGATTCTAAGTGCGGAGGGAAAAACCAGAGGAGCAGATGGACCACGGAGAGAGAGAGAGACGTGCAAACTCCAAATATACAGCAGGCATCGATCCAGAGTCTGAGACCAGGAAAGGCAGCGGGCAGAGATGATCTCCCAAGCGAAATGCTGAGGGAGGGTGGCGTTTGTGCACAGACTGCCCTACATGACATCATAACAACGGTCTGGACCACTGAACGGGTTCCGCAGGTTGGAAGGATGCCCTGGTGGTCCCCCTCTTTAAGAAGGGGGACCGCACAGACTGTAACAACTACAGGGGCATCTCACTCCTCAGTGTGCCAGGAAAGGTCCTGGCAAGGATTTTTCAACATCGCCTTGCCAGGCACGCTGAGGAGAGGCTTGCGGAGCCCCAATGCGGTTTCAGGAAAGGGCGGTCCTGCACAGATGCCATATTTTCTGTCCGTCCGCTACAGCAGAGGTGTAGGGAATTCCAACAAGACCTACATCTCTGCTTTATTGAACTGGTCAAGGCCTATGATACCATCAGTAGGCCTGGGCTCTTGGTGTTCTTCGTGCTTTTGGAGTCCCTGACCCTCTGCTCACGATCATTAAGGACCTTCATGATGGTGAGCGGGCCCGGGTAAAAATGGCCGGGAGTCGGAGCCATTCCCTGTACACCCTGGGGTGCGACAGGGATGTCCTCTGGCTCCCACATTATTTAACATCTATTTCGACCACGTAGTTCGTGAAGTCTTCAGTAGCTGTACCGGAGGAATTTCCATCTGGTACAGATACAATGAGAGGTTGATCGATACCTGGGTGCGGTCAAGGATGGCTCCCTATTGCACAACCTTGTTATGTATGCCGATGATCTGGTAATTGCTGCTCACTCAGAGGAGGAGTTGGAGGCGCTGCTGCTGAACCTGGAGCTTGCCACTAAGAGATGGGGCCTTACCATCAGCCCCACCAAAACTAAGCACCTGCCTGGATATTTTGTACCATCGGACACCCCACCCCCACAACTCCCAATCGGTGATGGGGCAGTTGTGGAGAGAGTGGAGAGTTTCCCATACCTGGGCAGTGTGCTCATGACTGGCTCCAGTTTAACAGCAGAGGTCTCACTCCGAATCAAGGCGAGCGGCAATATTTTTCATCGGTTGCGTAACGCTGTGTGGAAGCTACCTGGTCTGTCGCTCCGCACTAAGCTTCAGGTCTTCTCGGCCACAGTCATTCCCTCCCTTCTCCGCTTGCTAAACGTGAACCCCCCTAATGGAACATCTTCGCCGGTTAGAAACATTTAGGCTGGCCTTCCTACGATCCATCCTGGGTTTAACCAGGCTGGATTGTGTGAGGAGCTCACAAATCCTTGAGAGATCTGGG